CCCCAAAACCCCAAAACCCCAAAACCCCTTAATGTAAATTACATAGAAAAGCAGGAATTCTTATATACTTTATATTTAGATAAAATAAGTTGAGTAGAAATTTAATATGATTTATTGATAAAATGTTAAAATCAAAGAAGTTTCACAAATAATCAATAGAATGAACAGCTTCTGTATTATAATTTTAAAAGATAAGATTGTATTTTAACTTCTTTGTCATGCTTGCTGCCTAGATGTTCCAATTATTAGAGTATCAGATTCAAAGTTATAGTTTTTAAATATATCTTCACATCCAGACGAAGCAATTAAATGTCATTATGTAGACTTTTTCATATCTTTACCTATCTCGTTGTACATTGCCTCTATATCATCTTTTGTCTCTTCCTATCTCATCTCAGGTAATTCATCTTGTTCTTCTGTTTCCAAAAATCGATGATTAGTATATAGTTCTCTAGGTGATGGCTCTACTTCAGTTTGTAGATTTCCAATTTCAATATGAGGAATCTTTGGCCTTCTTGGATCAATTATGCTTTTATTGCTAGAAATAATGCTTTCTTTGTTTGACGAATTTGAAGCTTTGCTTATGGATTTGCTGTCAGGGAATTTAATCAAATGATTATGCCCTGTACCATATGATTAATCCTAGATTTTTTCAATAGTTTATCTCACTACAACGTATTAATCTTGCTTAGATTGAATAGATTCTTATTTATTATGATATCCACTAGTTCTTTACATAATTGATTAGACTATCAAGCTTTTCTATTCGTAATTTTAAGATCTCTGAGAGGGACTTGATGATGAAGTTGAATGAAATGGATTTATTTTTACATTGCCCATCTTTTTAGAGATTGTTTTTTAATTTTGATAACGACGATTTACTTTTAAGCTATCATTTCCAACATTATCACCAGATTCCTTAGTACCGTAACTCTTCTTTAAATCACTATGTTTTGATGAATCAGAATCATCTTATAGTACTATCAGCCTTGGACTTGTAGTTCTTTAATGATATATTGTCTTTTTCTATTACAATCTCATTGTAAAGTTCAACAAAGGATCTTTCTAACTACTTTGCTTTAAGATTAATCGATCCACGTGCAGCTCAGCCCAAAAATAACCTGGTACAACATTCCAAAACAATCCTCGATTCATCATACCATTATTTAGCTCCATCGTGTATTGATTCATTTTTTCTCCTACTATTTCATCTAATGTTGGAAAGGTATTGATTCTTCCATGATAGTAAGCAATAATTGGATATAAACAGGTCGCAATAGATCCTATGCCAAAACCATAGCTAATTAATTTCGATAAAGGGTTGTTTGTTAAAACGCCCCAGTAGAATAGACTGAAGCCTATTATTAGTAAAACAAAGCCGAGAAGAA